GAGAGTTGCGAGGGACGAGGGGAGGAGCTTCGGGGGGCGCAGGGCGGAGCGGCGGGGCCCTTGGTATGGGAGTTGTGAGAGACGAGGGGAGGAGCTGCGGGGCGCTTGGCGCTAGGGCTCTGGGGGGGAGGTCCCCAGGGCCTGGCCTTCCGGCGCCGGCCACACAGACCCTATTCCCAGGCCCCCTGCCACCCTTCCCCGAAAGCTTCCTGCCCCTTATTTTCATCCAGAGCTCCCATTTCTTGCCATGTTTCCGGGCAATAGTGAGCATTTTGATTGAAGCATTTGGCAAGCTCATGAAGCTTCCACCATAGCTCTGTCTTGTGGGCCCTGGTTCATCCAGTTCTGCAAATGAGGAAGCTGCCCATTTGCCCTTAGGACACAGCTGTAAGGGGGCCTTTGATTGCAGCCTGCCTGCTGGAGTTCAGAAGTTCCCTGTAGAGAGGGAATGTGTGTGCAAGCAGCCCTAGAAAGTCACCCCAGTTCTTGTAGCCTTTGGAACCCTTTGGGAGATAAGGGCTTGAACTACTTGTTCAGTATCTAGTCTGTGTATCTAGTCTGTACTTAAAGGCAGATGTTGGCCTTTCTGGCACTGGGCAGGCCCTGCAATCTCACAGATTTTGTTGTTTTTAGGTAACATTGACACTGATTCATGGAGACGCTGTGAACCAGACAGAAGCCTTCATTTGTCCGCGCTTCCTCAATACCCCTTTCGTAGGTATCACAGTGTTGGAACCAACCCCGAGCTGACCCTCCTGCATATTTTGAGAGGCTGTAAATCACTGGAGGAGATTGCCCATCTTTCTCCTTCCGAGCAGCTGGAGGATTTGAATTGCCTACCTTTGGGTTAGCTGCACAACTCCTAACCCATTAGACTACCAGGGATCAAACAAATCCATCACTATGTGTTTGCTGCCAATTCCATTTTCTCTAGGTTGTGGTGTTCGGACGCCGTGTGCAGTCCCAAAAGCATGCACATCCACCAGCTGCTCAGTGAGAGAAGGATGGGCAAATCTCTTCTGAGGTTTACTGACTGAAGACCTAGAGGTTCAGCTCCAGGTTGGTTCTGACCCAGCAACAACACAGCAACATAGAGTCACTGTGAGTTGAAAGCAGCTCAGTGGCAGCCTAGGAGTCTATTTGGACTCCTGGTCACCCTAGTGTGTCAAAGGAGAACTGTACTCCATGGGGTTTACACTGGCCATTCTTCCAAGTCACTCAAATCCCCAACCCTTTGGTCAGCTGCTGAGCTTTTTGCACTACAGGGACTCCAATTGTTTATAAGGAAAGTTTGCTTTTATTTAACAAAAGGTATTAAGATTTAAGCTACTTTATTACCTATAGTATGAAATTAATTTTGCTATAAACCAAACTATTTTGAGGTGATTTTATTGTGACCTTAGGTCTACTTAGAAGACACTACTTTCTCCTGTTTCTCCCATACTTACAATTCCTTCCTTCTAAGGTGTGTTTTCTTACCTTAGCTCTATTCTTCTTAGCTTCTTAATTCTCTTTAAATCCACCAGCTACTCCGTGGGAGAGAGTCAGTCTCCTCCCATGTGATTTACTGCCTCTGAAAACCCACGGGAGGGTCAGCTATGAGTGGGTTCATCTCCATGGCAAACAACAACAAAATTTGATGTGTTTTGGGACTGAGTTTCTTCCCCAAATTTGAAATGAAAATGTAAACATTCTAATTGCCAACCTTTTGTTTAACAGTTGAACACTGAAGCACTGTTACTAGATGTCTCTCTCTCTCTCACACACACACGCATAAACACACACATCTGCTTTCACTCTCTCCCTCACACCCCCCCCCCACCACCACACTGAGGGGAGGAGAGGGGAGAGGAGAGAAGAGGTGTCAGCATTTTATCCACTAGATGGTAGTATTGCTTCGTATTTCACAAAACAGTCTAGTTTGCCTTTTGATTTTTCTAAGGCGGTACAAAAGAAATTCAGGACCTTGAGGAGCAACGCAATAGCTGGCCCTCCGTTGGGTTTCCAAGACTGTAAATCATTGAGAAGATTGGTTTTCCCCCCCTTTGATTTTGTTGAATATCGCTGACAGTATAATCCTTAGTGTAGTCTATACTGTGACTGCTACAATGGGCTCACGTGTGTCGGGAAGTGTGAGGATGGCACAGGAAACAACAGGGTTCAGATCTGTTGTTCACAGGGTCGCAGTGAGTCGTACTCGACAGCACCTAACAACAACAATAGTCTATAGCAAGTTGCACTGCTAAGCAAACCCCTGTGAGTTTCTGGGAGTTCGAATGGCTCCTTGGGAAAAACAACACTATTTCCTCATGTTAGATTTGCAGCTTCGAAAACCCGATGGAGCATTATTGTAAGTTGGAACCGACTTGCCCAGCAGTATTTACTCATCAAGAACTGAACTGTGTATGAGATGTACGCTGTCTGAGTTGATTCCTGAAATAAAGTCATATTTTGCCAAGTTCTTAGGAAGTGTACTGTCTTCACTGCACCATCTTAAGTACCCCCAGAGTGTACCACTGGGCACTCTTCAAACACATTGGGAGCATGTGTTTGAAGAGTAGAAGACTCCTTTATATTTTAGTTGACCTTAAAGGTTTACTTATCAATCAAATCCACTAAACTTCATCTGTCTAAACTCTACCCTGTGATGAGTTTTGCCAATGACACACACCTGTGAAACCAACACTGGACTCCAGGCATAGAACTTACCACACTCACCAGTGTGCTTGTGGCCTTTAGAAAAAGGGGGAAGTTTCAAATATTTACATTTGCTTGGTTTTGGAGTTTTGCATTGGCCTTTTTCTTATCACTGACTATAGATTTTTCTTCTTTTGTAGTAAACACACAAACTTTCCACTAAACACTGCTTTTAAACTTGTTGTTATGTGCCGTTGAGTCACCTGCGACTCATAGTGGCCCTATGTACAACATCTCTAAACTCCGCTCTGTCCTGTGCCAATCCCTCTGTCCTGTGCCAATCACACTGTCTCTGACACTCCCATCCCAATTATCCCAGTCACTGAATCAATCCACCTCATAGAGGGCCTTCCTCTCCTGCGCCGTCCCTCCACCCTCCCAAGCATGATGTCCCTCTCCAAGGACAGGTCTCTCCTCACAACATGTCCAAAGTATGTTAGACGGAGCCTCAGAATCCTTGCCTCCAAGGAGCCACACGGTGTAACCCTTTCCAGGACAAATCTGTTTGTTTTCCTAGCAGTCCATGGTATTCTCAATACTCTTCTCCAGCACCACAGCTCAAAGGCATCAATTCTCCTATCCTCCTTGGTCATTGTCCAACTCTCTGATGCATAACAAGTGATTGGGAAGACCAAAGCCTGTATCAGATGCACCTTAGTCTCCAGAGAGACACCATTGCTCTTCAGTACTTTGGAGAGGTCCCTAACAGCAGACTTTCCCATGGCAATGCGCCTTTTACTTTCCTGGCTGCTGGTGCCAAGACTGTTGACTATGGAGCCAAGCAAAGTAAAGCTGTGTACAATCTCAATCTTCACCATCCATCCTGATGCTGCCAATTGGTCCAGTGGTGAGAATCTTTGTCTTCTTGACATTGAGCCTCAATCCATATTGTAGGCTGCAGTCCTTGACACTCTGCAGCAGGCGCTTCAGGTCCTCTTCAGTTTCAGCAAGCAGGGTTGTGTCATCCGCATAACGCAGGATGTTGATAAATAGTCCACCAATCTTGACCCCACATTTCTCCTCATAGAGCCCAGCCTCCCGGATAATCTGTTCTGCATGTAGGTTGAAAAGGTATGGAGATAGGATGCATCCCTGGCGTATGCCCTTCCCAATTTTGAACCATGCAGTGTTCCCTTGCTCTGTTCTGACGATTGCCTCCTGGTCCAAGTATAAGTTTCGCATTAGAACGATCAAGTGTTCTGGGATTCCCATTCTTCTCAGAGTCAGCCATAGTTTGTTATGATCTACACAGTCAAATGCCTTTGCATAGTCAATGAAACACAGATAAACATTCCTCTGGTATTCCCTGTTTTCAGCCAAGATCCATCTAACATCAGCTACAATGTCTCTAGTACCACGACCCCTTCTAAACCCAGCCTGGACTTCTGGTAGTTCTCTGTTGATGTGCTGTTCCAGTCGTTTTTGGATAATCTTCAGTAAAATCTTCCTTGCATGTGAAATCAGTGAGATTGTTCTGTAGTTTCCACATTCTATTGGGTCACCTTTCTTTGGGATAGAACAAATATAGATCTCTTCCAGTCAGTTGGCCAAGTGGTCGTTCTCCAGATTTCTTGGCACAACTTGGTGAGCACGTCCAGGGCAGCATCTGTTAACTGAAATATGTCAATTGGTATACCATCTATTCCTGGAGCCTTATTTTTTGCCATTTCCTTCTAGCTGCATCTTATCCATTTTGCTGTTACTTTTAAGTTCCACAAGGTTGAAAACGAATTTTAAATACTCTTTGTAATTTCTCTGGGAACTGTAGTTATCCAGAGTTGTTACCGTTAAGGGCCATCAGGTTGACCAGGACACAATAGCAGATGCGAACCTCCTCCCATCCTGCACCGTCCTCCTGGCCTCTGATAAGCTCGGACCCATTGTTACAGTCGCTGTGTCAATCTAGCTCATTGAAGGTCTCCCTCTCTTTCTTCTTAGATGCTGTTGTTAAGGGAGCTCTGGTGGTCAAGTGGTAAGAAGCTACATTGCCAACCCACAAAAGCACACAGGTTCAAATCCACCAGCCACTTTAGGAGAAAGATGGACAATCTCCCATGTTTTTACTCCTTCGGAAAACCTGCTAGGGAGTCAGCCATGGGTCAGTTCCAGTTGAGCAGTACATAACAACACTGCTCAATGAGTCCTAGTCATCTTGGTTGGGTATGACGTGTGTGCCATATTAGTTGATTCTTGAGGTACTTGAAGTCATAGTTCTTCAAATTCTTTATAATGATATAGTCTTTACTACTCTATCTTCTTTTATAATAATTGCAGACAATTTTAGAATAATTCTTTTTTTTAAATAAATGACCTCTTTATTTTACCAAATAGAATTTATCAGTTTAGTTGACAGAATAATTCCCTTTTTTACTTAGATGTAAGCTGTTGAATTTCTGTTTTTGTTTTTTTTTAACAGTATTTCTTTTTATTATAAATCTATTATTGTTGGAGAACACATTCTCTATGATTTTTTTTGCTGTTGTATTTTTTATTAATTTCAATGAACATTTACAGAGATTTTGGATTTCCATTTATTCATTGTTGCACTTTTCTCCCCACCCTCCCCACCCCAACCCCCAGTTTATGATTTTAATCCTTTTAAATTTTTGAGACTTGTTTTGTGGGCAGGAGTACAGTCTTTCTTGATGAATCTAACTTTCTTTTTCTGGATCTTTTTATTATTTCTCGTTTTTGCTTTGCTGTGTTCTTCACCATCCCTGCCTTTTTCTACTTGCTTGTGAACTGTACAAATATAAGTAATTTTTGGAATTACGTTATAATTTCACTATTGATATTTTAGCTTTTCTTTTGTGTATGTATAGAGCCCTAGAAGCTGGTGATTGAAAGATCAGTAATCAGAACCCAACAATGGTTCTGAAGGATAAAGGTGTGAGAGCCTGCTTCTTGAAGGATTTTGTTATTGTTGTTAGATGTCCTGCTTCAGTGCCAACTCGTCATGCCCCTATGTACAAAAGAAGAAAACACTTAAACTGTCCTGCACCACCTGGCAACAGTTGCTGTATTTGAGCCCGTTGCTGGAGTCACTATGTCAGTCTATCTTTCTGAGATCTACCTCTTTCTCTCTGACCTTCTGCTTTCATGATATTTTTCTCCAGGGACTGGTCTCTCCTGGAGACATGTTCAGCATCTTAAAACCTCCAAGAGACAGGTCTACTATTTCCTCACAGGCTTACTATGAGTTGGAATCAACTTGATGGCAACGTTGTTTCACTAGTTATTTGTTGTTGTTGCTATTATGTGCCATCGAGTCACTTGCAACTCATAACAACCCTATGTGCAAAAGCCCTAAACTGTGCTCTATCCTGTGCCAACTTCACTGTCTCTGACACACCTACTCCCATTACCCCAATCACTGAATTGATCCATCTCATCGAGGGTTTTTCTCTCCTGTGCCATCCCTCCACTCTCCCAAACATGATGTCCCTCTCCAAGGACCAGTCCCTCCTTGCAACATGTCCAAAGTATGTCAGACAAAGCTTCAGAATCCTTGACTCCAAGGAGCAGCCCGGCTTTACCCTCTCCAGGATGAAATTGTTTGTTCTCCTAGCAGTCCATGGTATATTGAACACTCTTCTCCAGTACCACAGCTCAAAGGCATCAATTCTCTTTCTATCATCCCTAGTCATCATCCAGCTCTCTGACGCATAGCACGCAATTAGGAAGATGATAGCCTGGATCAGACACACCTTAGTCTCCAGCCTGATGTGATTGCTCTTCAGTATTCTGGAGAGGTCACTGACAGCTGACTTTCCCAATGCAATTCATCTCTTGATTTCCTGGCTGCTGTTGCCAAGAGTGTTAACTTTGGAACCAAGTAAACGAAAACTGTTAACTATTTCAATCTCTTCACCATCCATACTGATGCTGCCAGTCAACCCAGTGGTGAGAATCTTTGTTTTCTTGATGTTGAGCTTCAGTGCATATTGAAGGTTACAGTCCTTGGCCCTCTGCAGCAAGCGCTTCAGGTCCTCCTCAGTTTCAGCAAGCAGGGCTGTGTCATCTGCATAACGCAGATTGTTGATGAATCTTACATTAGTTATTTAGCCCATTAAAATATGTACAGTATGTCAAGTCAGCACTGACCTATAGCTGGTCCTCCAGCTGCTTTTCAGAGACAGTTAATCGCACGGGTGGAAACTGTCCATCTCTCTCCTGTGAAGTGGCTGGTTGATTTGAACCATGTGTCTTTGAGTTGCTAGTGCAACTCCTTACTGCTAGGCTACCAGACCTCCCTCATTAAAATATCCATCCTAATAAAAAGATGAGGTGTTTTCTCCCATGCCGTTTACTACCTCGAAGAAGCTGCTGGAGGGTCACTATTGGTTTTTTCAACTTCACAGCACCTAAAAAAATAGCAACAACCGTCTATTTTATAGGTGTCCTTAGCACTTAAGCACATAACAGTGGTTACTTGCTGAGCTGCTAATTAAAAGGTCAGGGATTCATCCTTTTTCTCTTTACAGGAGAAATGTGTGGCACTCTGCTTCCATGACGATTTGCAGCCTTGGAAACCCAGTGGAGCAGTTATAGTCTGTCCTGTTGGCTAGCTCTGAGTTGCAATCAACATGATTACAATGAGTTTTGTTTTAATTTTTAGAGTTAATATTGCACTACTTCATGTGTAATGTAGAAAGCTTGTGGTTACACAGGTCTGTTAAGACTGCCTTTCTGTGATTTTTTTATATATGTGCCGTATGTCTTGCATTTGCTGATGCTATGAACCATGAGGTGCTGGCTATGCTTAACCACTGGTCTTAAAAACAAACAAACAGACGCTCCGGCATATAGTGTGCACTGATGACTGTGGTGTAACTCTTCCCACCATGGCCAGTGTCAAGCTAACTATGCAGCTGCAATCAGTTCAAAAACACCTTTATAATTTAACAGTTGCCTCTCCTAAGCCAGTGCAGAAGAACTTAGAATGTTGTTGTTGCTGTTGTGTTCTGTTGGGTAGGAACCGTAGCTGACCCTCTGGTGAGTTTTCAGAGGCAGTTAATCACATGGGAGGTGACTGCCCATCCTTCTGTGGACCAGCTAGAGGTTTTGAATCATGTGCCTTTGGGATTATAGCGCAGTTTCTTACCACTAGGCCATCAGCGCTCCCTGTGAACTTTTTTAAAAAGTCCAAAAAGCCAACAAATATTACAATTGTGTTTTAAACAACTATAAGCATTTTACAAAAATTAACAGGGAGGAAAATCTTTATTTATGCAGGTATTTCTCATTCATTACACACTTTCTTCCTAATTAAATTTTACGTTTCCTTTTGGAATCCTTTCCCCTCAGCATGAAGGACTTCCTTTTGGATTCCTTTTGCAGCACATTTCCTGGCAACATGATTTTACTAGTGGCCTTTTATCGTAACATATTTTTATTTCACTTACTTTCTTGAACATGTGCGTGAAATGCAGATTTCTGGTTTCTTTTTCATACTTAAAAAGAATTTTGTTAATCTGAACATCCTGATAATCTATAGCCATTCCATTTATTTTTTAACTTGCTTTCTTCAGACTTGTGTTTTGAAAACTTTCTCTCCCAGCACTTCTAAAGATGTTCTTCCACTCTCACTTGCCTCCATCATTTCTGTTGAGAAGTCCAGGGTCTTTGGGATGTTGGTTCCTCCAAATATAATAGATTGTTTTTCTCAACTGACACTCAAAACTTTCTTCCTACTGTACGTAAAATTAATCTTGAGTGTTCAAAAAAATTTTAGAACATAAAGGTGTTGGTTTAGATAGAGTCCGGGCCCTAATTTCCCTGGTGTCACAAAGAGTTACATGCTAAACTGTAAGTTAAAAAAAAAAGGATGTTCAAGCCGTGTGGAGGCACTTGATAAGAGAGATACGCCTCCAGGTCAGCTGGTGAAAATTCACAGCACTGGAACCGATACAGAGTGATTCTATGCTGCACACACCCGCTTATCACCGGTCAGACTCTACTAACATCAATAGTAACTTGTTGGGTCCACCAAGGTGCAGTGGAGATAGTCTTTAGCTCTTAGTTGTGATGATGTCCAGGGACTTTGTTGCCTGTTCAGATACTTATTCTGTCCCTTATTGGTTATAGGGTCCTGCTTCTCTTTGTATTGCCTTACTTTCATGTAAAATAGTTGATAATAACAGTCAGTCAAGGTTGAAACAGAGAAAAAACCCATTCTAAGCATTTAAAAAGGAGAATTTACTATATAGGAAACTGGTTCTATGTGGATGTGGTATCAGAGAAGTCAAAAAGGAATGAACAGTGAAGTATCAGAAAGAATGGACAACCTTCACCCAACTTTGTTTAAGAACATGTCATTACAAAACAAATCTCCAGGTGGCAGTACAGACAGCGATATTAAGGATGTTTGGACTTTCTGTCAAGGAACTACTGGAAATGAAGGTTGAGACTACGTTCCCCAGAAGTGAGGCAGGGCTGGGGGTGGAATTAGACGACAAGTAAATGCTGACCTTACTTAAAGTTTCATTTACCCCCCCAAATGTTTTCTTTCCATTATTGCAAAAAGATAATTAAAAAATTACAAGACTTTTAAACATAAGCCAGCAGCTGTGAATTTGGTTACAAATTTTTTTTTTCTTTTCTAGCTTTACATTTCTTTTTAAAGACCAGACAGATCATTTTTAAAGGATTCATTGCTGGTGGCATAATTTGATACATATGGGACAGCTAATCAAAAGGTCATTGGTTTGAGACTACTAGTAGCTCCAAGGAAGAGAAATAGTTTCTTCCCATAAAGATAGATTTACAGTGAAGGAGCACAATGAGTCAGAATGGATTCAGTGGCAGGAGCTTTGGTTTGGTGATTTTATCAACAGAAATACTTGGACAAGACAGTTAGACTGCCAATTGTCCACCATTGACTTAGATTAAAAATGATGACAAAAGGGAATCAGGATTTCCATTAATAGTAAAGATATTGGAAATCCTCTGACATCATAAGGAACTGCAAACTGGCCTGGAGCCTCTAGGAAAGAGCGCAGACAAGTTAGAGTATTGGTCAGTCTTCAGATTGGCTTGGAATTTTTTTGACACAATGGGTTTTGTTTCTGTCTTTCAGTTACATGAGCACAGTTGATGTAATCTGTCTACTTCCCTTGAGGTCAGCGGTTATGCCAGATAAGTCTGTCTGGATCAGCCTTTGCCGACTGGTCCTTGTCATCAGAGTAACTTGTTAGGTAAACGTGATCCTGAGGCTGCAGCTCGGGCACTGGGGGAATTCTGATATTTTACCGCTTATTTCTCAGGGGCCAAGGACAAAGACCTAAATTGTGGGTAAAATGAAATTTTTTATCTCACCGTTATTAGGGAGCTCTAGCAGCCTAGTAGCAAGAAAAACTGTACTACAAACCCAAAGGCATGTGGTCTGAAGCCAGCAGCTGCTTCGCAGGAGAAGGGTGGGCACTCTGCTCCCATGCCTCTGAAAACCTGCAGAAGGATCAGCTATTGGGCGGTTCTGACTCTGTGGTACATAACAACAACACAGTTCTTAAACCTCAGAGTTGGCAGTATTCATTTTTAAAAATTTTTATCTTTTATATATATATTTTCATTTTCTACTAGTTTGTTTACAAAATTCAAATACAAACTTGAACAAATGCTTTCCATTTCCCTCACCCCCCCCCATCAAATTGTATAACCCAATGATTAATCCCCCCATTCCCCCTGCACATCCACATTCCTCTGCTTCCAGCCTCTACCTCCCCTCCTGGATCCTTATACTCATCTACAATAACGGTTTTATACAATATTTGTCCTTGTGGGACTGAGTTTGTTCACTCAGCATAATGCTCTCCAGTCTCTCCCAAGTTAGGTAATAATTGACAAAGTTATTGCTCCTGCGTGCTGCATAGTATTCCACTTTGTGAATGTACCATAATTTCTCAATCCATTCGTTTGTGATTGGACATTTGGGTGGGTTCCATGTTCTTGCTATGGTGAATAATGCTGCGATGAACATTGGTGTACAAATCTCAGTTTGTGCCTCTGTTCTCATATTCTCAGGGTATATTCCAAGTAGTGGAATAGCTGGGTCATATAGAATTTCTATGTTCAGCTTTTTGAGGAAGCGCCAAATTGCCTTCCAGAATGGTTGCACCATTTTACAATCCCATGAACAATCCATAAGTGTTCCTTTCTCGCCACATCCTCTCCAACATCTATTACTTGCTGCTGGCAATATTCTTTTACACATTTTACTGGTTAAAGTCCACCTTGATGACTGTTGCTGCCCACCTTTCTTCCTTTGTTGTTAGGTACTGTCAAGTTGACAAAAGCCCAGCCTGTGCACAGTAGACTGAAACTTTGTCTGCTCCTGGGCCGTCCTCACGGTCTCTTCTGTGCTGAGGGCTAGTGCTGCAGTCATTTCCTTGTGGAGCTTCTTCTCTTTCACTGACCCTCTACTTTTCCAAGCTTAGTATTCTTTTCCAAGGACACAGCCATACTAGTAACATGCCAAACGTCCGTGAGATAAAGTTCACCATCCTTGACTCCAAGGAGCACCCCGACGCACCTTTTCCGTGTCAGGGTGGTTTATTCTTTTGGCAGTCCGCAGGATATTCAATACCCCATCCTTAGCAAGCGTTACCTACACCAGTACTGCTCCAAGCGTGGCCTAAGGGCCTGGACCATCGCCTGTGATAGATAAATACCAGCACAGAGACAAATCACTTACCAACAGGGAGAACAAAATGACTGAATGGTTTTCTACTAACCTTAAGAACAAATTGAACTTGACTTAAATGTCTTCTTATATTTACTGAATTTTGTGCAAGCATTAGTCTTTGATGGGTTGGAAACACACAAAGCTGTTTATTCCTTGTGGAAAGTCTTCAAAGCACTGATTTGGGGAACCAGAAGAACTCAACAGGAAGAGGTAGAAGAGTGAATGGAGCTGAGGAAGCACTTCAGAGGCCGCATCTGTCACAAGAGGACTCATTCTTTTCCTGTCATTCTCCCATCTACCAAGGGGATAGTTGATCTGATCTTGGTATTTGAAAAAAGAGGATGATGAACTTGACCAAGTGGAATAAGGACTCAGACAAGTCCAGCCAGAGTCCTTGGCCCCTCTGATACTCTCACAGTGCTAGACTAATTGTCATCTCTGTAATTCTCCCCCGACCCCGTCCTGTAGATGATATTGTTCCCTGAGCCCACTTGCTCCAGGCAGGAGTTCCCACTGTTAGGGAAAAGTAAGGATGAAATATCCCAATCCAGAAGATCTCACCACAAAAACTGAAGGGGGGAAAAGGTTTAAATGCCCCAAGTTTGTTGGTCTGACAGAGACTATGGTCCTTGCACATACCCTAACAGTCAAATAACAAGCCTATAAACTAGAAGGCTGGTGATGGATGCCCTCAGGACGTCAATCATGTGAGACCAAAAAGGAAGCATTTGCCCCAAAACAAAGCTCAGAGGTAGGAGGGGGCATGAAGGAAGGAGAAATGGATGAAGGGAAGCCAGGGAAGAAGCAGGCCCGTTGCTGTTACACGGCTGCAACTCCTATTACAAAGAAAATCTTTATAAATTGTGGAATTGAAAGCAAATTTGCCCTGTATACTTTCATCCAAATCAACGGAATGTGATATATCTTAGAAACTCTATAAAGAGATTGCAAAAACAGAAAACATACCCTTTACACAGCTGAGTGGATCCAACTCATAATCACGTTGAACATAAAATTGCTAACATCCCAGTGTCCTAATGGCCGATACCTCCTTGCAGGAAACAAAGATGTGGGAGGCTCCTCTAAAGTTACATTTCAAAAGTCTTCAGGGCAAAATAAAACCCCCAAACACTCTTCGATTAACATTGTTGTACACTGTGGAGTCAGAATTGACTCATAGCTGACCCTCCAGCGGGTTTTCAAAGGCCATAAATCACACAGAAGGAGACTGCCCCTCTCTCTCAACAGCATAGCAACTGGTGGATTCGAACTTCATGCCTTGCATTGGTTGGCATTGCAGCTCCTTACCACTAAGCTCCTTTAAGATTTACATATATTCTAAGTCTCTCTTAGATTTACATACCTTGCAAAAATGGGGGGCGGGGGCAAAGAAAGACTTAACAGTCACAAGTTATCGAAAGTGGATGCAGAAAGGACAGGGAGAGATGGAAAATGTCTTCCCTTGTTCTTAAAACTCCTTGCCTCCAGTGGTTCTAGTCTGTAGGGAGTTGCATGGCTACCCCCAAATGAGTTCCTCTCTGATGGCTCGGATCCCCTATGAGTTCTGCAGAAAAAAAGAGGTCTCATCTCCTCCCATGAGATTTACAGCCTCTGGAAACCTACCAGAGAGTCAGCTTGGAGCCAAAGAGTGATTTTCAATTTGTACTGCCTCAGTGGAATGCTGTCTACAGCTGAGTGAAACACTGTCCGGTCCTGTACCATCCATCTCATCCCTGTTATTGTAGCCACTGAGTCAGTTCGGTTCGACAACCTTCCACTTTCTTTTCTGACCTTTTGCTTTACCGAGCATGATTGTCCTCCAGGCCCTTTCTGATAACACGTCGAAAGTCTGAGACAAAAATCTCACCATCCCTGCTTCTAAGGAACATTCGAGCTCTATGTTTTTCCTGAGACAGATTTGCTTATACTTCTCATGCTCCATTCTGTATTCTGAGGACTGTAACAACTTTTCCTTTCAGCTTATGTCCCCAGATAGTGGCATCAGAGAGGGTGACACCAACATGACCTTAATGTCTGCTGAGGCTGTGACTAACTAGTGTCCTCCAGCACTCAGGGTCAAGGTGTGAGTGGCCCACAGTGCCCTCAGGATATGAGGGTCTCCTATTGGGTAGTGGGAGAGGGGACAAATTCTGAGGAACTGTGATTGGGTGTAAGGATGTGGCATGGTACTGGGCCCTTCGTGGCTTATGTTGAAAACTCCATGCACAGGAAGGAACAGGGTAGTGTGACACCAAGAGTTATCACCCAGTGACAGTAACACCACTATCCTCAGAAGGCCATTTACCAATCTTTCCTTAAGTTTGGAAAGAGGGTCTGGTCTCTCTTCCAGCCCAGTGGAGCAATGTGTGATTCGGTATGCCAGCACATAGGAGAAACAAAGAGCAAAACCAATCCACCAGTGCCCCCAAAGCTTCCTTTTCCCTCATGAACTTAAATAAATAAATACATTATGCTCTTTGTTGTTGGAGTTGTGGGATCAGGTGTTTTCTTACCTTGAATTTTTCACTTTATGCAGTGATTGAAGTGTTTGTTTTCATCAACTATAATTTGTTTTACTGAACTAACTCTTAGAAGGCCATTGATACATATACAACTATCGAGAGGTTGGTATGCTTGTACATGATTCAGTACGGTCGGCAGAACTAAGGCTCAAGTATAGACTAACACTGTAGATCTATGTCAACAGTTTCAAAGATAAGCCTGCAGTACTACCAATCACTGAAAAGTACACTGTTAAAACAAGTATTTTATAAGACACAATTTTTAAAAATGGCATTGAAATTAAAATATGAATGCATTTATAGGGATAAAAAATATTTACAGCAGGATAGTACTTCCACGATGCTGTATTTGTAAATATTTAGATAAATTATTTTGGTGAAAGAGCTGCTTATGCCAGGTATGTGAAAGAATGTTGTTATATACTGTTGAGCAGAACTGACTCAGAGCTGATTCTCCAGTGAGTTTTCCAAAATCACACTGGAGGTGCTTGCCTATCTTTCTCTTACAGAGCAGGTGATGGATTAGAACTAAGTGCCTTTGGGTTGGCAGTGCAATTCCTTGCCACTAGCCCACTGGAGCTTCCATAGTGCCATATAAAGCACAAACTGAGTGCTCAAGCAATGACTTTTAAAGTGGAAAAGTAGAATGTTGGCAGAGAAGATGAATATCGTTGGTAAGATGGGCTGGCCCAGTGGCTGTAATGATGAGTTTAAGCACAGCATAGAGTGTGGAGATGGTTTTGGACAAAGTATAATTTGCTGAGTTTTTTAAAAAAAAACATAGTTTTGACCTAGGGAACTAGTAAGGTGCAAAGAAAAGCCAAAAGAACATATTTCCATGACCTAGGAAATTAGGAAAATAAAATTTTAAAAAGTCAAAGTAACCTGCTTACACACCCACACATTACGTTCTAGCATCATGGCTTATATACACTTTTTGACATACACCGAGCTAAGCATTTGTTAAAACGTAAGCACATTTAGGAAACAAAGGCTTGGACTTAAAAGGGTATTAATGCCAAAGGAGAATTAATTATCTCAGAAACCCAGAACTAAGGGGTTTTTCAGAAGATAAACAAGACTGAATGAAGCTGGGTCACATACACACACAGCAAGGACTTACTCAACCACAGAGACCTAAAATGACGACTCAGAGACAAGAGAGACCTGTGTATGCATCAGCATCTCATTGTGAGTCTCCCAGATTTCCTTGCACCCGAGTCCGTGATGAAGTTTGTGCTCATGCAGAATAGGGGTGGTTACAGCCAAAGATATACAAATACCTGACATCCCGGTACTTCTGAAAAACACGCTCCTGTGAGAAACTACCCTAGAAAATCCGAACATTTGTTGCATGTAGATACAAGCTTGCCTTTTTCCTAGGCAATGTACATTCTCCTTCTGCAGGATTTTCTTATTCTCTAATAAATCTACATCTTCCCTACTGCAAAGTGGTCTGGATTTTTGGTTATTATTTATATCCATCAGCCTGCAATAGTTTCATTCTATTTATTATACTTAATGTCACTTATAAGTTGGAGTCCTCTCAACTGAATGGCACCTAATGATAATTTTTTTTTTACAATCTCTATTTTGATGTGTGTGTGTGGGGGGGCATTACATTTGCCAAGAGAAGATATGATAATAGAAAGCCAACAGACTAAGTAAAGGAAAATACGCCTATAGGCTATTCAGTATAAATACTCTTGGGATGCAGCACTGCTCTAAAACAGCCAACTAATTGTTTCTCGGTGTTCATTTCCTTTTCATTTTTGTTCTATAGATTCCACTACATATCTGCAATTTAGAAGTCTGTGAGATAATGATTTTAAAAAAAAGGTGCTTCTGGAGGTTGGAATCCACCAGTGACTACTCCCAGGATGGAAGATGGACAATCTCCTTCTGTGAGATTTACCATCTTGGTAACTCAATAGAGGATCACCTATGCATTGATTCTGACCGTATAGCCAAAGGAGACTAGAGAAGGATGCACAGAAGTGTACAAGTATTTCAAGATGCTTTAAAAAAAAATCAGTGCAACTACATGTTTGTATCAGGCCCAGTTTAACTTATATGTATCTAACAAAAAACGTACTGCAACAGATGATGTGCAGAAGTGTTTATGAGAATCTGGCTGTGCTCTATTAAGCCAGACATTAAAGATATTTCTAAAAAAAAATAATGCAATGCATAGATACTGCTTTAAAAAAATACAACAAAACACACACACATAAGCAGCTAAAAAAAAAAAAAATCTTTGCCATTGGTATTACTGTCTTCCTGTAGACCAGGCTCTAACTCTGTATGGGAATAACAGAACATTTAGTTGGTATTAGGAAAAATCCTTTCCACATTCTTCATTTGATCCCTGTGAGTTAGACCATTCCATCCCAACTCTATTTTAAGTGGCAGTTTTAAGAGCATTTTGAAGGCAGAATGACATGCATTTGCTTTTTACTCGTTACACTTATTATCTCATTGATTTAGAAAATTAGACCTCTGGAAGCTTGCTACCTTACACATTTTATGGTAGTTTGAAAACAAAACAAGGGAATAAAGCATCAGAAATATTTGTAATGGAGCATGTCCGTGGCAGTCACAATTACGTTTATTTTGTAATAGAGGAAATTGAGGTGAAGCCTATTTATCTGGGTAATTGCAGAAGAGCAATTAAATAGCATATTATGCCTGATTTCCAAATAAACATTCTTTATTGACTACACAAGCTTAGTAGCTGTTTGGGTCAGAGGAATCTTCAATTTCTACATGACCTACAATGACACAATGTTAATTTCCCACTATTAGGCTATTTTGCTATTATGTTTACCCTCCTTGGCACTGCGGAGCAGAGAATGTATAATAGAAATACCTTAGTATTTGTTTAATCACCCACCGCGAGTCCCCAGGGACCCACAGCCTGAGCTTTGCAGGTAAAGCAAGCAGCCTCCACTAACAAAAGCCCGGCTGCTCGGAGCCCCGCCCAGATGTTTATATTTACTTCCCTTGGCTCCGCCCTCGACCACGTTAGGCTCAGGCCACGCCCCCAAACCCGAGCAGCGGTAGCCGAGCGCCTCAGCCGGCCCGCAGGGATTCCTTGCTCAGCCAATCGCCTGTGAGCAGGGCTCTGCCCCTGACAAAGATGGCGCGGGCGGCCGCTGTGAGGGCAGGCTGAGCTAAACACCCGAACCCGCGGCGGCGGACAGTGAAGACAGTGGTAGCGGCGCAGCCCCGACCATGGAGGAAGGCAGCAGCGCTGGCAGCGGTGGCAGCGACAGCAGCACCAGTGGGAATGGCGAGGCGCACCAACGGGAACTGGAGCGCATGGCTGAGGTCCTGGTGACCGGAGAGCAGCTACGGTAAGGGGAAGGCACAGCTGGGGGGCTCGCGATGGCACTGCCAACCGGTGCCCACCGGCAGCCCCGCGCGCACGCGCAGCTCGCCACGGGCGCGGGGCTCCTGGACGACCGCAGGCGGGTGTCCGGTCCACGCTGCGCCCTCGCCCTGCGGCTGCTGCCCAACGCTCTGCGGAGCGGGCGCACGAGGAGTGCGCGCTGCGTCCCGGTCCCGCTGCAGCAGCCCGGCGTCCCGGGCCAGCGGCCGGTCACCGCTTGCGCTCTCGGGGCCGGGTCCCGGGGCGCTGCCTGCTCTCCGGATTGACAGCCCGCGCCCGGCGGAGTCGAGTGGAAAGCCGAGGTGCTGCAAGGCTTCCTTCACTCCTCCCAACCATGAGCCCTTCTGTCTCGAAACTGGGCTTGAACACATCTCCGCCTTGGAAGGAGCTGTTGTAGGAGCTAAACCGAGAACATTTCTGCAACATTGTCCCTCTCCCTTACTTGGCACAAGGTCCTCAGTGATAATGTGGGTCCCTGTGGGCTTGCCGGGCTGCGGGGCCAAGTCCACGGCAGCGCGCACGTTTTGAGCCGCAGAGCCCAGTTGCTTCTGGATCAGCCGGGTCGGGACTTGCTGGGGTGGGCAGGGAGTGAGCAGTGCGCTCTGGCCTTCCTTCGCCATTCCTGTCCATTCCCAGTTCCTCTTTTCGGATTTGTGTTTGAGAATTGTTCAGACTAATATCGCATCTGCTTATTGTTTTGTGTGTTTAGAAATAAGTTTGCCTGGAAAACAAAAAAAAAAACAAAAACAAAAAACCAAACTCTAGCCCTACCGCATTTGGGCCACAGTTTGCACTCTGACCACTGGCCCTGCCTGAAGGACGCACGCCCGGCTTCTTTCTAGTTCTTGGCGGAATCATCTGGATCATTTCACTTTTCTAAATGTTTTAGGACCTAAATGAGACAGAACCCTGTGAAGGTTCCCGAGGATTCTATAACCACGCTGCTTGCAGCACTTAGACTGAGGAAGTGAATGTTGGAAGTGGAATTTACAAAAGGCAAATGGCATATCTCAACTCCTTGTTGCCTTTTTGTTGTTGTTCTTAAAGCATGATTTGTTATAAAGGGTATACTAATAATAAAAGGTCTTCCTTCTTTAAGATTATTCTCTAATTGAAAAATAAAATGAAGATTTTCTGCTTTAGCCTGGAACTTTTTTT